GCTTCAGATGGAGCAACTGAACCTCCGACTTCCTAAACTATGGGTAAACAATATGTAAATGTGCTTAGAGATCAAACATATTTTTGAAGAATGGTCCACTTCAGTACTTACCAAATCACAGAACGTTCAAATAAAGAACTTCAGCACAATTATCCTCCCCAAACATTAGACTCGGATCTAGGAGTAGGCTCTCCTCAGCATTCTGGTCTAGTTGTTGACTAAGAGTGCAAAGCTTACTTAGAAAGTTTTAGTATTCATTTCCCCTGCGAACTGATCTATATAGGGTGCGGTGCTACACTCGTACAATCATGCAATTATTAGTACGCCTCACTTCTCTTTACACAATGATCTGTGGCGGGGAAACCAATCAATAATTGTCCGAACCTAAATATTGTCAGAAAAAAGAGAGATCGAAGGCTGAATCTCCAAAGTATTAAGAAACCGGATTGATAGATGATCCACTGTCTCCCAGCTCTCTTTCACATATAAACCCATAAATACAAAAAATGTGAGCTTTATAATTTTTCAATCCTCCAATTGGCATACCGACAATAATATATAGGCTATTCTATCCCAGCACATCCAAGATTACACAAAAGTATCAAAACATTTAGTCCAAGAAACAAACTTTACAAAGTAGCTATATAGATCAAGTTTCAAGCCTCAACTTAGAATGCAACAAAGTAACTCCAAAAATCCTCAATTTCTCCGCTCACCATTAGGGAATTCACACCCATTTCAACATATAAAAGTCACACTCAAACCATAAACACAAAAATCTACTCAAGAGAGGTGATTACATGATCCAACCCGGCTTACAATCCCAATCCCTCCCTGGAAGCCTCCACTAAACGCCTAGATTACATGATCCAGTTCCTCGACCGAAAACTCTCCAATAACAACAGTAATAATAACCATACCAACAACGAAAGTGTTCCATAGACACAAAACTCCGGCTTTTCCAGAATTCATTGGCAATAATATTTGATTGAAAGCAAAATCTAACATTAACAACAACCAAAATCCTGCTTCCGCTGCCGTGTCAGGAGCAAAGTGTCATTCTTTTTTTGACGGTGCGACGTGTGCTTATAGAGGATATTCAGTTGGGTGCGGTGAATGTTTTTTTTTTTCCTTATCCCTTAAAAAATTAGGCCTGAACTGTCAAAAAAACAATTATGTTATCTTATTTGTACTCTTATCAACTTTTGTCTCCATTAATTTATTTACTGTTTATTAGATGTTTGAACTTTTTAGAGTTTGGATTTTTATTTTATTTTATTCAATTTAATTTTTTTAACTGGTTTAGTCTCTTTACTTTTAATTACTCTATTTATATACTGTATACTTTTTTTGATTTTTTTTTTATAATTTCATTATTTTTTATTTTATTGCATTTTTTTAATTTATTTTTTTGTTATTATTCTTTTTGTTATTATATTTTTTATTCTTTTCTTGATTTATCTTTTTTTTTTTTAATTTTATCCCTCAAGATTTAATTTCATTTGATTTTATATTCGGTTTTGGTCTTTGTTCTTTCAATAACTTTTTTTTATTTTTTATTTTACAATTTAACCTCTAATTATATATATATATATCTATATATATATATATATCTGATTTGCATTATTTTGGTTTTAAATAGTTTTATGGTTGAGTATTTTACTTTTTTATTTTTTTTTATAGTTGCCTTTCAGTAAGATAATTTTTTTTAAGTATTGATTTTTTTAAAAGAAAATCCTTCATTTATCATTTGGTTATTAAAACCTTAACTTTATTGTTTGTTGCTCTTTTCATTGTTGTTAAATTATCAAGATCTTATATCCTGTATAATAAGTTAGTTAAGTTAATTATGGTTGCTCTAAATTTTTTATCTAATTTTATTTTTTACAATTTATATTTTGATGTTAAATTATTAACCATTGAGCTATGTGATTGTTTTTCATTTTTCTTTATTATTTCAAGAGGGAAGTGTCAAGCTAACTTAAATCTTTTTTTCCTCTATTTTTTTTTATTTTTTTATTTTATTATTTTACAATAAATTATCAATCTTTGAGCTTTTTTATTTTTTCACTTTTCTTTATGTTTGATTATTCCGAGAGCAGGTTGACTTAGAGCTTTTATAATCTTTTTTCTATTAAACTTTGGTCTTTTTTAGTAGGTCATTCTTTTGATATTTTTTTATCCCGATCTCACATCATAAGTTGTTAATTTATCTGAGTTAACTTGAATTTTTTTTTTGTCATTATATTTTTGGATGTTTTTTTTCATCTATAACATCAAGCCTTAAACTATTCATTTTTCTTTTTACTGGTTCTTCCAGTCTTATATCCCGAATTATATTTTTAGTTAATTTAATTTGAATTGTCTTAAATTATTGTCATCTAAATATATTTTTTTAGTATTGAAAAAAGTTTGGCCCAAGTCACGAGTAGCACCGGACATTTATCTAATATGATTTAATTAAAAAAATAAGTTGATTCATTGGCTTGATCAAAAGCCAAGTATCAAATTGTTAATTTTTAATTTTTTTTTTTTAAATAATATCATTTTACTTTAAAAAAATAATTAAAATCGACTATTTTGATTCATAATTCAAGTCATGTCTCGCATTGATTTCAGATTAGGTTTTATAACTATAGCTTCAAGATAAGGCGGTCGGTTGTTCTTGTTGGGTTTTTGGGAGTGGTTGATTGGCTTTGGGCTTAGAGTTGATAGGCGTTTGAAAATTGTGGCGAGTCCTCGGCTACGTAAAGTGTCGTGAACAAGATTGGATTATGCTATTAGTACAAGAATTTGAGTTGTCTAGCCCAATTGCCTTATATTTAGCTGACCGCTTGAAACAATATTTCTTAAAAATAATTTGTTTTAATGAAATTATTTTGATGTGATAAGATAAAAATAATTTAAAAAAATTAATAATAAAAATAATTTTTTAATATATTTTAAAATAAAAAATATTTTAAAAAAGATTGTTACAACACTCTAATCATTTTTTTTAATTTGAGATGGTTTGAAAGGTAAAATAAGGGGAAATATTATTTTATTTTTTAAATAAAAATTGATTTTAAATTTATTTTTATTTTTATTTTTATATTTTTATTTTATTTCTCTAACTAAACGGTTTATTTATATGTGTGCGTGTGTATAATTTGATGAGATTCATGTGAAAAAAAACTTCCTCACGACGGAAGCACATAGCTACAGAGTGGATGAGAATTATTTTTACTTTGTCTAATTACGCTAATAATTATAAACTTTTAACAGAAGAACAACATTTAGACAAGAAGAACGTTTAAGAAATTCAACAATAACCTTCCCTTTTTGAAATTGAATCGACAGTGTTTTTCTTTTCTGTTTCCTTACAATAATTGAGGTAAGAGATAGATCCCAGGTAACGAAATGAATTAAACATGTTAAATTAAATCAACTAAAATAAAATTATTTTAATTTTTTTAAGTTAAAATAATACTTTTATGATTTTTTTTTAAATTAACTCAATATTAATTTTAAATTGTTTTTAGATTTCTAAACTAAGGCCATCATGTTTCTACTCGGCCAACTAGGCCATGAAATAAAATAATATTTGTGAATGAAAAGCAAAATATAGAACTGGTTGTAATTCAAACAGACAATATCTACATTTTCTAGGAAAAAAAGTTGTAAGAGGTGGGGCAAAATTACAGTCAGAACATATGAAGAATGTTATTTTCTCCATACAAATTATCTTGCTTGCTACATAATAAGCCAGAAATCAAACCTTATCTCTTATGGTCCACTGCAAGTCCTTTTTTTTTTTTTGGCCTGGCTAGAAGCAAAACTTCATTATGTTTTTGGCACTAGCTAGTACAAAAGGCTACAATTATAACACATATATCAAATATTTCATATCTTATATATAATAGATGGCAGTATTAAACTCCATTATGTTTTTGGCACTAGCTAGCACAAAAGGCTACAATTATAACACATACATCAAATATTCCATATCTTATATATAATAGATGGCAGTATTTCACTTTATTTTTGACATTTTAACCATTTTTTAATCATATATAGAGCTGTTTATTGTATCAAAAGCTAAAATTTGAAGCTGAGAAATACTTTTATCATTAAATTTGCATAACTTGTATGTAAAATATTTTTAAAATAGACTTGATTTAATTATTTAACATATAATATAATATTAGTTTAGATCATATTTCAAATTAAAATAGGTGAGAGTTAATTCGGTGTAACCTAATTAACTCCTGATTTAATTGACTTGGTTAAAATCTTGTTTAATGTAAAAAAATTAAAATGAAATTATTTTAATTTTTTTATATAACAACTTAAAATAACATTAATTTAAATTAACTTAAATTATCCTATAAAACATGTAAGTTGTGGCTTTAACTGAATTTCATAATTTTGAATGAATGACACAGAAAGCCATGTTCATTCCATCATATCTAGTAATAAAGTAAGTAAAATCAAAGGAGAGGGGGTGGGGGATGTAAGAATATGTTTTCTTTTCTCTTTAACTCTCTTTTCCCCCCTTTTCTTTTGACTTTTTTTATGTCATTATCATGTACTCCTAAATTCTTTTGAACCACAATTAAGGAAGCTAAGCGAATGATTAAGAATATAGTAATCCATTAATCAATTAATCTATAGTAAAAGATGTTTTGGGCCCTCTATTGGTTAATTAGTTTTTATTAGGAAATAGTCACTCGAAAAATTACCAATAAAATATAAATATTAACATGGTTATTTTTTTTCAAAGATAAGAAAATATAAATACAATTACAGTCGGATTGGTAAATCCTTTTAATTTAAATTACAAATTATTTCAACAATATTTAACGTAACGATGGAGATCAATCTGATTATAAAATTATAAATTTATCTAATAGATAGATCAAAGTAATTGAAAATCATCCTATCAAAAAGGAAAACAATAACAAAGAGGGAACTAACTGTGTGGGGACAATATGAAAACTGTAATGTGCTTCCCTCTAATCTCTGCTTGAAATCATAGATAATTAATCTTGTAATGCTATAATACAATATTTATGCATAGATTGTTGATAGAAAAGCTATATATTAATTTATTTAAACAATAGGCTAAATAAACCCGACTTTTACTAGAAATTATGAAGCCTTTTGCCACTGGATACCCTCACAACAGTGGTGCCAAGCAATAATGGAGCTCAAAAGGTGCTGTAGTACTCTATGCTTTGCTCCCACTACTACACCCCACCTTCCTTTTCTCAAAAAACTGAAGAGGGATCAGCTTTTAGGGTTCAGCAGAATATGCATGGATCTCTAAATCCTTCAACAACTAGTACTCTTCAATAGTTTTCTAAGCATAACCTTTTAGCCCTCCACCAAGCACTCATGAATTCCACCTTTTCCTTGCTGCAAAGTTTCCCGATACTAAATTATCAAATGTTTTAATTTCTCTTTAGATTCCTCCACTTTATTGTCAAAATATGCAACCCCGTGAAATTTAAATCCATCCATTGATAGACGATGGGTGGCATATGGCTTGTACACCAACACCAAGAAAGTCTCTAGTTTGCCCTCCTGCAGGACTGTCTTGATCACTTTGAAATATTTTCTGCCTTTTAGCAGAATACATTTGAAGCTGATTCAAAGTGGGAATCTCATCATTTCCTGAGTTTTCCATATCACTTGCTGGGTTAGTGCTTATAGGGCTTGAACCATACAGTCCACAGAACTTGTTGTTCCCATCTTGAGCTGTAGTACTGAAGCTCTTTAGCCCAAAACACCCAAGGAATGATGGATCTGTTGAGGTTGCACCAATCTGAGTAGCTTTTTGCAGCAAAGCAGTGGCTGACATATTTGCTGAAGTTGTTTGATGGGATTGTTGTTGTTGGGTACTGTACAATGAAGGAACACTTACTAGCTGACTTGCAGCAGCTGCTTCCTTAACATTGCTTAAAGGAAGTCCTAAAGTGCTTGTCAGCTCCTCGTGCGCATTATTTGAAGAGATCTTGTTTCCAAACACTGGCCAATTTAACTGATAATGATCAGACGGTAGAGTACTTGAGCATGAAACAGCATGGGGGTCACCAAATAAAGCTCCTGAACTAGTCATTGCGCCAATTTGATGAATCTCTTGAATATTATTGCCCATTGCTTCACTGGCATGGGGTACGCCTCCTTGGCTCATCCACAAGGAAAGTCCTCCTTGTCTTGTGTGGCGATCATTGCTTTGAATTGGCTTGAAAATTGAAGAGAAATGTTGTGCCATGTTAGGCCCTAATGGGTTCCCCGTTAGATGATAACTTATGTTGCCAGCAGTTGAGTTTCTTATGCTGGATACTGCATTTACTCTTGCTGTTTCCTCTGCTAAGGCATCACAGAAGGCCCTATGAGTGATGAAGCTATCTCTCCTGCTCAATCAAAAATTTGGAACATCAACTCAAATGATAATTAAAACTATATAATAATAAAAACAAATTAACTTGGTATTGCATAGCTAGTAATAGGGTACTAAAAAAGGTTAATTAGGCACTAAATTCAAAGATGAATAGGCATCTATTGTAAGAATTGATGATGGAAATGAAAGATATTGCCTTTCCACCTATCTCTTTGTCCTCACTATACCTCCTTTTTCTCTTTATTTTCCAAACTTGAGAGATAGAAAGTGAGGGGGCTGCACAGACAAAGATATCACAACCACAAAAATCACTTTCATGCTTCACATATTTTCTACATTGACATGTTTGAGTGTTGTTCTTGTTGCTGACAAGAAAAAAAAGTGATGCTCTATCATCTATGCTTTATTAATTAGCTAGTCCTACTTGATTAATTTCTTCTTTAAAACCCTTGTCTACTAGTATAATATCAAACATACAGTATCATTTCAGTAGCGCGATCAATGTAAATTCTACTAATAAAGAAATTATACCTTGAAAATAGAGTCCCACAGTCACATTTGTATTCCCTAGTGCCACAAGTCTTTGAGTGTGCTTTCCAATCTGACTGGACAGCATATCTCTTCGAACATTTTTCACACTTCCATTTCTTCTCACCATGCTTCCTACAAAAGTGCTTCTTTATACCTGTTAAGTCTCCAAGAGCCCTAGAGGGATGATTATGGACACAGGTCTTTTCAGGGCAGACGTAAACGCGCTTTCTTACTTCTTTGTTTGTCCTTTGCTTCAGCTTCCATGGAAGGTTGTGTCCTCTCCTATGGAGTTGTAGATTTTGATCCCTTTGAAAACCTTTACCACATATTTCACACAAGAATCTGTTGGTGGCCATGAGAGTTTTTGGCGATAAAGCTATGACTTCTGCTTCTGGATCTGCATAGAAGAACAGATAGTCCCATAAAAATATTATGGCATTAAAATTTGATTAGACATGAATAACTTTGAATATACAGAAGATCATGATCATAAAGACGGAATGAGAAAGGCAGACATAAAGAAAGAACAATGATAAATACACTAACACAAAAACTCAAAAGGAAGAAAATTAAATACACAAGCTAGCTAGCTTGCCTGGAGTTCCTGGAAGGTTTCTCTTCTTCTTTAGAACAGGGAGATTGGATCCATCAACAGGGTTCTCGACAGAACCATTATAACTACTAGTTATTGCTTCTTCTGCTGCCATGATGTTCCCTGACATATCTCAAGATTTTCTATTCCTTTCTCTTACCAACGTAGATGACTCAGTCTAGCTAGTTATGCAACTAAAGTTATGATTAAGAGAAGAACCAGGAGAAAAAGTTCTTTCTTATGAGGTTTCAAGTCTCAACCCTAGCAACATAAGAAGATATATGGATGATTTGATCTCTCCCCCCTTCTCTTTCTAACTCTAATATACTTGCTGCAGTCATTTTATTTAGTACTTGCTTTTCAGCCAAGGCTAGGATAGAATAATCAAAAATGTTTTTGGGAGGTGGTGAAAAGTTAAAGTTGGGACATAGAGGGAGGGAGGGAGGGAGAAAGGATGCTTGAAGAGTGAAGGGAAAAACACATAAAGGTGCATGATGACACATATGACGAGTGTGTGAGAAAGCAAATCTCCATGCCCTTTTCCATTTGGAATGATTATCACATAATTTGTTTGCTTTTTGTGTCTCTCATTTTTCTAATCTATCATGTTTAAATATTGTGCATTGGATGATAAAATATGAGTTGATTATTTCCAAGAACCCCACAAACATTTGAATGGAACCCTAGGTTATCCTAATTCATAGCCACAGGTTTGCACAAAGCAAATAGTTTGGATTGTTTTCTTTGTTTTTTAGCTACTATACATAGCCATTTTGGAACCATGCAAATAGAACTCAAAGAAAACATTAGATTTTACTTCAATTAATTATACTCACAAATGTTCATTAGTGACTTTTGCCTCATTGAGGTGCATGATCAAGAATATCCCATTTTACAACATCGTCATATGTAAACTCTAGAACAATTAACTTTATTAATTTAGTGATTATTTAGAAACACGAACATGATTACAATACAACCCGTATTCTAAAATTAAAAACATCATAGTGATGCCTTTTTAGTTTAGGAACGCAGGTTGCACAAATGCGTGCTCGTGTTCCTAAACAGACTAGCTACATACCTAAGTACTCAATATATGCATGCACTACTCATAACAAATATAGCTCAAAGATTGGGATAAAGAGATTTGCTCCCTATGTAGTTTCAGGTTTGAGTTCTTGATTGTTCATATGATGGTCACTGGATGCTTACATGGTCGGCGTGCTCGTGTTCCTAAACAGACTAGCTACATACCTAAGTACTCAATATATGCATGCACTACTCATAACAAATATAGCTCAAAGATTGGGATAAAGAGATTTGCTCCCTATGTAGTTTCAGGTTTGAGTTCTTGATTGTTCATATGATGGTCACTGGATGCTTACATGGTCGTTAATTTCAGGACCCGTGGGATTAGTCGTGGTGCTCGTAAGCTAACCTATACACCCACATTAACCTAAAAAAAAAAAATATATAACTCAAAGACCCAGTAGCATTCTTGCCCTCAAAAGTTTGAAGGTAGGTATGGTTCCTTGTATCCACAAAAGAAATCCATTTTTCTCAATTAACATAGTATGAATTGAAAAACTACAAGTCATAAAAACGCAATGTATCATGTACTATATTTTGTTTTTGTCAAAAAGATGAATTAACATGTCCTTGAGAGTGACTATCTATCATAAGACTCGAGACGCCCAACTAGCCACCCTCTGTTCTTTATGCATCCTCATCTTCCACAAAAGTAAAATATTTTTCTCGTTCTTGGCCGCTGCCAGTCAAAATTTTAGTCTTCTCCTTCAAAGAAGGTATCGATCATGTCATGCCTCATTTACATATATAATTAAATGTGCAAATAATGGTTAGTAATCTTTGGGGTGTTTAACAAAATCTGCCATGCACAATCTGTTAAAATTAAGTTTAGCTCGATCAATCAATATATATATAATCTGGTTAAAATCCTAAAATTTAGTTGAGAATTTATTAGACACATAGTTTTAATTTATTTTTTAAATAAATCTTAAAACAATTTTGTTTTGAATTGATTTGGATTCAATTGATCTATTTTATTCATGATACGGACCAAGTTTTATAATTATAATTTCATATATATTTACGAGAGATTTTTTTTTATAGAGTACTTTTCTTGGATTCAAATTAGAAATGAATGTTTTGAAAGGAAGCTCACTTACTATTGAATATATTTAAGTAAAATCTTTCTTTTGTTACATGAGTGAAATTAAATTAACTTTGGAACATGATCAACTGCATCACCATTTAATTAGTTTTTAAGTTGAGACACACATATGTGAATAGTAAACATTGTTTCAGATCTACAACAAGTCAATAGAAAATTTGAGATGGGAATATAATTGAGATGCCCTAGCTAATTCTGATTTAACTTTATTTCTTAATCTTAATTAATTATGCTATGATAATAGATAAATAATCAAAGTATAGGGAAGAGGTTAAGAAACAGCCAGCTGACAAAGGCAGTGAATTTTTAGAACTGAGAGCTAGCGGTCGTCTCCTTGTGGGCTGACTTCTCCTGCTAACCCCTTAATCATAATCTAATCATGTTTTTGCTTTCTAACTTTGTTTAGTAAATAATCTTTGGAACTTAGCTGTTGAACTGTGGCAGCCTCAGAATATTCTCTCCTCCTCCAACACTCCCAAAGGCTTCAACTTTCAAGGTTTAATGGGGTTTTTAATTATACAAACCCCACATCTATTTTTGCTGGTAGAGATTTGAAAAGAGAAGTTGTCTGAGTTAGAAACCATAGGCAATATTTCAAAATAGAAGGGCTCAGGGAAAAGCAAAATGTTGTCACCAAGGTTATGTTTGTTCCTTTGCTTGTCTCTTTTAGTTTGAAATTTAGGATAGACAACGGTATTTTACATTTGATTGTTTGTGCAGTTCTAGGATATCCCCCCGCCCCAAGCTTTTCTAATTACAAGACATGATGAACTTGTTCTTAGCTGGTTCCAATTCAAGGAAAATCCTGAGAAATCCTATACTGATCACGTGAAATCATGTAGCTGTACTTAAATATTATGTTGGATTAGTGTTTTGATTAAAAAAAAAAGAAGAAGATATAAAGGGTCAGAAATGTATTAAATTGGAGGAACAAAAATATAAACATAAAATAAATTTATCTCTAAGACGGGTTTTGAGTAAACTTTTATTATTTTAAAAATAAAAGAACAATTCTTTTTTTCTCCATTATATATCTTCATTAATTTATTTTATCTCTAAACAATAATCAAATACTACACGAAAAAAAAAATCCATGAAATAATAACTATATTGCGTTTGTTTCTTCTTAGTCTTGATATAGTATAGTATGCTTGGTACCATCAAATGTTAGTGTTGCTTTTGAAAAACAATATCCCAAAAGGAGAGCAGATTTGGATCTAGGAATCCTATACAGAAATCCACATGCTTTGGTTTATAAAAAGATGAAGAATAGATGCCCTTTTCCAAACCTATCTCAATTATCTTTCTTTATTTTTTTATTTTTTGGTCTCTCCTTTTTCCTTTTCCTTGGTTGCGACACAGTAACAGATCAGGCTAATTACATTTAATCCTGCTAGCTTTATAAACATAAAATAATATTGACATGAATATTCTTCTGCAGTGTTTCTGTATCTTTTTTGAGCGAGCATGGTGGTAACAAGCTTTAATGTTAATCCTTAATTAGTTTCTTCTAAAATTGAAAGTTCCAATTAATGAAGGTTTGTAAGGTAATTATCTTTTAAAGGAAGCTGTTCATTCGAGTCGGTTTGGATTTATATCCGTCGATTGAATATTGATGGCATTATCATCTCTAATCATCACGACATTATCATTCCCAGTCGTCATGATGCTGAATATATTTTGTCAACAAATTAAAAAAGAATATTACAAATTACAAACACCCAATCTTGGTCTCACAGAGGCGTGATGGGAGAGATTTTGAGCAATCTGAAGATTGATTAACTTTATTTCTTTCACGAGTTTAAAAATGCTTGCATTGCATGTATTATTATGAATATAATTTCTTTTTTTAGATTAATGTGAATGTTTAGACTAGGCTAGTTTATGTTCATTACAACTAATTTTATGGACTCTAAAATTAATGAATTATTATGAACATAATTAATTGAATGTCTCACGTAACTTTGATTAGGAAATGCTTGCATGTATTATTATATGTATTATTATGAATATAATTTTTTTTTTAAATTAATATAAATATTCGAACTAGTTTACATGTATCATGATTAATCTCACGATCCGAAAGTTAACGAGTTATTATGAACATAACTAATTGAATGTCTCACGTAACTTTGATTAGGAAAAAGAAGCACCAAGACACGGTCATTCCACCTGGAGGACAAGTTCAGTAAAAGAAAAGAACAACAATTTTGTCTTCTAATGCTTTAGTGATCATAGCATCAAAGAATTTAAGATTTCAAAGGAAGAAGATAAATAGCTTGTCCTATTTGATCTGAAAAGTATTTTTTTTTAAAAATAATTTTTTTTATTTTTTATTTATTTTAAATTAATATAATTTTAGTATTTTTAAATTATTTTGATGTGTTAATCAATTATTGTTTTACTTTTATTTACCAAGTCATTAACATTTTTATTTGCTAGTATATTTTAAAGAATTATTTTTATTTAAAAATTTAAATTATTAGATAAGTTTTTAATAAATAATTTATATTGTTTTTAAATATATTTTTTTAATGAAAATTTTTTAAGTTTCAAATTTACATAAACTTAAATTGTTTTATATTTAATTTTTATCAAATAAATAAAGATATTAAAATTCAAACTTATTACCGTTTGATTTTTAAAACTCTGATATTATATTAAAAAATTATTTTAATAAAAAAAAATTAATTATTAAATAAAATCTTAATATATAATATTATTCTCAAACAAGTAACTGGCACGAATAAACTCACCACTATGAAGTCATTCAACGTAGCAGATGATAATGTATTTATTAATATTTCAATTCCACAATATATAACAACATGAAGATTCTCTTTTTGGCTGGGAAAGCAAAGTTAAAGCACCCCACTTGCTCACTCTACAAATGCTATGGATGGCCCCTCTCTTCTCTTAAATAGGAAACCAATCAACCTATTCATGTTTTACCTTTTATGTTCCTTTTCTTTGCCTTAACGGTGAGATATATACTCGGATCAACTTTCTTGTACCAAGTCCTGATCCCTCCTCCCATCAATTCTTAAGCAAATCATCCATGCTCAGAGTAAATAGATGAAGAAAAAAAATCAATTTTCTCTTGAAAATTTAAATTCTAAATGATAATTTTTGAAGAACAAACTCACTTATCTCTTGGCTAAGTGCTCGTCGTTTGGTTATGTAGTGGCACAGACAAATATATAAAACCTCAACCTTGAAATATATATATGATATGAGTAAAAGAGAGAGATTGCTGGTCCATATAATGCCTAAACCTGTAATTAATTAAGTATTCATGTGAAAGCATATCTAGAATTATGAATTGAGGAGAAACAAGGTCGCCATCAAATTTTTGACAGGCACTAAATTCCCACTAAGAAAAAAGGACTTTGAATGTAATATGATAACAATTGTGTTGGTGAGTATATATCCATCGTTAATCATTGATATATACAATAAGCAAACATATATCACACAGAGAAAAAGGAGGAAGCAAAGAAAAGACAAGAACTTACTCAAAGCCATCTGCTCTAAAGGAATTCAAACATGGATGATTCAAAAGAAAGGCATGCAGCAGGGATATACACGGTTCCACTCGGTTTGCCACGAATATGGTATTCAAAGAAGAAAAGCAAGCAATGATGACAGAGCAAATTGATCAGAAAGTGGTCTTTGTTATCATCTTGAGTAGTGCTAGTGCCCAAATTGATGGTGCTCTCCATGAAAAAAACAGAACCCTAGGGTACATTTACAGAGTACAAATTAACTAGCTATATAGAGCAAGATTTAATTGCATGCAACATGATGTGCTCATAAAGAGACTACAGATTTGTTGTGTATTGACTGGGGATCCTATGAATCTTGAACGTGAAAATAAAACAAGTTCGTCAAATCCTATCACAGAAACTTGTGAATGGATGGTCTATAATCTTTATTTACTACACCACTGGTACTAAATTATCCATTGTTCATAATTTTATGGGGTTTTAGCACATATTAAAATAATAAAAAGTTGATTTTTTTTCTCACATAAATAATAAAAATCTCGTTGCTGACTCTGTTAGTAATTACTGACATAGATTTCATGTCGTTAATCTCCATTTAACATTACCGACATGATGTTTTTCACTTTCAAGAACTCGTTCTTCATGATCCTCTTCAAAATATTTCATTCCTGGATTTTGTGGCCTTCTCTTAACTAAGATGATGGGAGAAATCAACAAAATCTATTAAAAAAGTTTAGAAAAATATGGTTTTAACCTCGATTTAATTGCATATATATGACCAATTTTAGTAAGATATCTTCATTTTATAATATTAATTCCATGTCTACACGTAATTTTTTTTAACATCCGTTTAAATAGATGATCTACTTAATACTATCCAGCGTGAACAGAGTTTTTTCAAGAATTGCAACTAGTAAATATTAATGGTGAGTGGAAATGATGTCAAAAGCATCACCACCATCGTGGAATAGACCCATAACATAATCTAAATTGGATTAACATAGATTAATTATTTTTATTAATATGATATTGTTTTGTTTATTTATTTATTTAAAAAAGATTGAAGTTGATCCAATTAGGTTTGAACCATGTTTGGTTAGATATTAAATCATGTCTCTAAAAATCAGGTTTGGACAGCTAGATTTTATCTTGTTAATATCTTTTTTTATTTAGTTTAAAATTTGATTTGAATCAAATTTTGGATAATAAATTTCATTAATGGCATATATATATTCAATATCATCGTCTGTGATTCCCTCCAAATTGATTCCTATTTGATGCATAAATATACTCCTTATCTGTTTATTTTTTTATTGAATTTTTATTTTTATTTTATTTTTTTAAATTAAAATAATTAAAATTTTAACTTTATAATTTATTTATTTTTATTTTTTATTTTTATAATATTTATATGCTTTGCAAGGTTGTTAAGGTAATTTAGGTTATTTTGGGGAGGTGCTTTTTTCTTTTAATTAAACTTCATTTTTTTATAGTTTTTTTTTATATAGTTAAATTATTTTTTTTTGAGAAAATCCATATTATTAAATTTTATAAAGTTCATGAATCTATTTATAGGTTTAACTGGTTGACCTAGTTTGCAGGTTTAACTAGTTTAATTTTTTTTTTAATTTCATTATTATATATTAGGTTAATTAAAAATTCAATTTTATAATTGGTTTTGTTTCCAGGTTTAACTGGTTGACTTAGTTTGCAGGTTTAGCTAGTTTATTTTTTTTTTAATTTCAAAATTCAATTTTATAATTGGTTTTGTTTCATTTTCTATAAAGTTATTGCGGTCTTAACAAAAAAATCTTGATATTGTATTGGTATTTAATTTTATGATCATCTATTGTTATTATATAATTAAATAAAAAGTAGTTTAAAGAAAACATAAATTATAATCTCATTAGAGTTAATAACCTTCTTTATAAGTTTGACATACTAGCTTAGGTTATCTGATTCATTGGTTTAATGACTTTACCCATCGATTAGATATGTTTTTTTTATCCTTTATTTGATTTTTTTTATTTTATCTTTTAATATTAAATTAGCTAGATATGTTTTTTTTTATCCTTTACTTGATTTTTTTATTTTTTATTTTAATATTAAATTAGTTTGAAAATAGATTGCATGCTTGATATTTATTTTTTTATATAAAGTTATTATTATCTTAGATAAATATTTATTTTTAGATTAATACTCATCTAATATGTCATTGTCTCAACATTGTTTTTAAAAAAATTTCATCTTAAATATTTTTTAAAAGTTAAGCCGCTTCAACCCATGAAATTGATCAATTTAAATTGGGTTAATTTTTATATAGTTTAATTAAAAATTCAAGTTAAATGAAGAATTAAATTGGAAGATTTTAAGATTGATGCATTTGACTAAGTTTAATTATATTATCAAATTTTTTTATATTTTAATTTTTTTTTTACATTTTTTTGTTTTAAAAAACAGCTGATCCAACCCTGTAGCACGCGCCGATATGCCAGTTCTGTGTATAAATAATCTTTTGGGCGTTGATCACAGGAGTTTTAAACTCTTATGGCGTGGTCAAGTTGTGAGTTTCAATATCTCTTGCTCAATGGGCTTTTGTTTTGATCCTCAGTTCCGGTTTGGGCCCTTGTGACTAAATTCTTCGTGCCTGTGTATCATGAGCTGGGCTTTTATTTTGAGCATCAATTGCATGTGGGCCCTTACCACATTGAGTATCATGGGCTTAGACCCCTCTTTACGAGATGACATGCCGGTTTATTGAACCAAAGAAGAAACAAAGCAAAGAAAATTCTCCAAAATCTGGTTGAAACTTGAAAGAAGTGAAATGGACACAAAGGCTTTAGCAAAATGAAAGAGAGCAAAACCCAACAAGGCCCCGTCAACTGAAAAGAAGCAAAAACCCCGAAAATCAAGACTTCCTTCAAACTGGGATCGTTGTGGAGATGATGATGAAGATGAATTTGGAGTCAATCTTGAAAACCCACATGGAGATAACCTTAAAAAACCAAACTTTGAGGATGATGGTCTTGTTTTGCCAAAGAGAAAAGGTGCTGACCTTTATGCTGACCTTGAAGCACCTCCTAGATGAAGCTCTATCAAAATGTCACCAAGTTGACAGCTTTCCTTCTCTTGAGGACTTCTTGGCTGGTATGTTTTAGAATATGTACCTAAGTTTTTTGAATTAAAAACTTGAATGATGATAAGCAATAGTAATTAATGTGCAATTGATAATGCAATTTGAATTGTTTTGCAATGAAATTTGGATGGATACTTGTATGGAATTGAAGTTGAAGTTTTTTCTTTATTTTTTTTAATCTGTTTCAAGTATAAAGGTTCTTTCTTGATCAGTAACTGGACTAGGCTTTCAAATTTGTGTGTGGTGGGGATTCAACAGGTTAATTGACATGGTAATTTGTTTAGGTTTGGTTGCAGTTTTCGTATATTTTGAAACATCTTCTCAGTTTAGGCTTCAGGTTTTTATTTCTTGTTTATTTGCTGTGAACATTTCCCATTTCGATTTGCTTCCGTAGCATGTCGTTTGCACTTTGCAATCACTTTGTAAAGTTGGGAAATTGATTATACTCTTGTCTGAATTGTTGCCAATTTCTCACTTAGCTAGCATTTTGACTCTGCACAATCCATTTGTTACTTGTTGCTGATGATTATTGACTTATAAATCTGACTGTATTGTTGGCAAGGTTACTGGTCCTTCTGGTGCCTGGTTTAGACAGTTGGTTTTTGTGTAGAAGAAATGGTTGCATGAGGCACACTGTTTTTGAGATTGTTTTTATTTTGATGTTGGTAAATTATTGACTTTAAGTGCTTGATGAAAGAGGAATTTAGGCATGGAGTAGACCCCTTGATTTTAGTCAGGGAGAAAGCATTCTATCATGGATCGGGGATGATAATTTTTCTGTGGAGAATAAAACTACTTCAACTCATGAGGTAATTGCTTATTTTTCATTTTGTTCATTAAATATTATCTCTCGTTTTTTTTTAGAGTAAGATATTAAAATGATAGCGAAAGGAGTATAGCAATTCAATTCAAATGTGTTAACTCATCTAATAATTTAATATTTAACGTAAGCAGCTTCTTGATATGCCATTAATTGTAGAAAGAGATTTACTATCACCTTTTTTAGTTTTTATTTTCCATTCTCTGCCCACCTGAAAATGGTCTGATGAAGAACTGTTAGAACCCGGACACTAGTTCATGCCAACGAAACCATGGCTTACCATTAGGCTATGTGCTAATTTTGAAAGTGCCTTTTGTGGTGATAAAAGTAATTTAGCTTGTGTTGGGTTCCCCTGTTACTCCAAGAGCAAACGATAATCTTAAATTTGAAAATTGATGTGCAGTAGTGTAAGGGTAGAGATGTTATACTGGGACACTTTATGTAGGGCTCTCTTCTTTAGTTTTCTTCAACTTCACATTCCTTAAATGCAAGTCAGACAAATTGTATCTTGATCCTGGTTCCTGTTTGTTCATAGCTTGTTGGACAAACAAAATATCATTTTTACAGGAAATATTAACACCCAAAACATATGCTCAAACCTAGGTTTTATTTTGATGGATGAGTGATTTATTTTATATTGACACTTACTGTATTTGTGAAGTTCAATGAGCATCTTGGAAAAGAAAAGTTTAAAGTGCTTTGCTATTGGTATGGGCTATGTCCGCATTTCCTTATCTAACAAGGAGAGTAAGGAACTCAATCCTTGTTGATAGGAGATTGTGAGAAAAATTTGGAGTCCAATCCTTGCCTGGAATATTTGTATAAAGGTGTGCCACTTGTCCAAAATGCGATTTAATGTTGTCAAATTTATCCATTTCTGTAGGCTTAAACATTTAAAATTTTGGAAGTGCAGAAGTACCCACAGTTTAGAATAAAGTGGTATTCTTGCATATAGTAGTACAAGTACAATGCATTATCTTCATGCTAATGCGGTTACTCCTGTTACTATCTTATTGGAATGCTACTTTCCTTTTCTTTACCTTCATATTGGTTGTCCAAGTTCTTTATATACTCTCCTAAAGTTTCCTTACCCATTTTTTATCAGGCATCATTTCTCTTCCTTAATTTGCATGCTCTTGCAGAACAACTAGCTAAAGTAGATGTATCAGGGAGGCTCTTCATTGAAGCAGATCTATTAGCAACAGAATTGGTATGCTCTACATGCTGATATGACCTTTGAATGTGTGTTTTATATGGCTTATCAGTTATTATCACTTTTGACGTCAAGAAAAGTTTGTCCAATTGTGTAGGGTCTCACAGAACTGGGGTGTATGAGTAACATTATGATGCTTCACGGAAAATGTTTCCTTTATTTACCTTGTACTTCATAAACATGTACAAAATATTCAGTTAGAAGATATATAGAAGAAGATCTCAGTGATTGCTTGCTAGTAATATTTAGATCAAGAACTAGCAGCTTGAAAATATTCTTCACTCAAATCTGTTTCTTGTTTCACAAGGCACTTCCACAAATGGTTAATCACCCTTGGTTCTTGTTTTGCTTGCGTTCTTTTAAATAATTTCTCTCTGATTATTAACTGGTGTGGTCATTTCTTGTTTCCAAAGTTGTCACTGTATGTCGCATAGTAATAAAATAAGGTTAGGATGAAAATTGCTTGTCTATTCTCTAGATAGGATATATTATGCTACGTGTAACATGGTTTATTGGACAATCTGGTCAGGGATCAAATAAAAGCAGCAGCCAGGAATATGACCAATTGCAAACAACAGGATCAGAGGCAAGCAGCAGTCATGGACCTGACTGAAAACCAACAACTCAAACTAGAGCAACCTTAACAATCTCTGAAGAATCGGCTTTGGAAGATTTTTCTGAGAAGAATAAGGCTGTCAATCAAAATACCAAGGTTTTTGGAATCAGGCTTGACCGTAGGCCATACAGACCCATTTTCATTTGTTCAGGGATCGGATGTCAAGGGTAATTTGAATAGCAATCAGTGTGGGAAATCCAATCAAAGCACAGCTCCTGAGCCCCCAGAACAGTTCAATGTGAGTTATGTTGTCTCTAGAAGCAGGCTGCCCACGTTTGAAGCAGAAGCTGCTGAGTCTAACCTGTATATGCTTCCTGGCTCGCTTAGTGAGACCAAGCTACTTGATTCTTCTTGTTTTGGGTCTGGTACTTTACCCATTTTAGAGAAAGATGCTCCTGGCACCACTGCCAGAAGTTAGAAGAAATCCACTGGTTCAGCAAAAAACTCGTACACTGCTGCCACCCCGGACAGCATGCTAGATGATTTACTTTGAGAAAACATCTAATTTACAAAGAGAAAGAGGCTGCTACACCTCTGCCACTACTTGCAAGAAATGCTCTTGCCTATGCAAAAACCAATTCTACTGCTGTCACTCTAGATGTACTTGATGACAACATACTTGATTTACTTTGAGGAAACATCTAATTTACAAAGAGAAAGAGGCTGCTACACCTCTGCCACTACTTGCAAGAAATGCTCTTGCCTATGCAAAAACCAATTCTACTGCTGCCACTCTATATGATGTACTTGATGACAGCATACCTGATTTACTTTGAGGAAACATCTAATTTACAAGAGAAAGAGGTTGCTACGCCTCTGCCACTACTTGCAAGAAATGTCTGTCGCTTCGGCAAAAACCACTTCAACTTCTGCCACTCAAGATGACGCACTTGATGATTTACTTGAGGTAACATCTAATTTGTCAAACCAAAACAATTTGCATCAGCCTCTAGAAATGAAGGCTGCATCTTATGAAATTCAATCTTCTTCATTCCATCTGTCAGTAAGTCGAAAGTTTTGGATTGACTTTGATTCATCGTGGGATACAATTTAACTGCTTGTAATTTTACCAAACCTCAACCATGTATCTTTATTTGTTGTGCTTAATGCAATACAAGGATGTATACTTCCAAGCTGCTACATGGATTCTATATTTTACAAGTAAAAAAATATTTAGGCATTTCGAATGTTACATCTGCTGCTAAGGTTTTCAACCACTCTGCCATGCATTTTCTCGACACCTTAGATATTCAATAACGTATTTCCCACCTTTCCTTGTACTAGTGGAAAATGTTAGGTGGCCTGTCATGTAAGAGAGGTGAGATGTAAATAAGTGGTTCCATGTGGTGCAAAGAAGTCTTTTCCCTCAACCCCGGCAGAAAAATGTCTACCTAGAACCAGCTGTGCACTTTAATTTGCAGAAGTCAACAAGGGCATGACAAGTTCTGTAGCATTTTGCTTCCATAACATTATGAAAGACAAAAATTGCCAGCAGAAGTCAGGCTGGCATCACAAATAGAGAGAGGTAGAACTTGATCTTCCAATCTCCTTAAAGTTCCACAAATCATTGGAAGGAGAAGAAAACAGAAAAAAAAAAAAATCCACTGTGTATTTCTTTCTTTCTATAACAAAATTATACTTTCAAATCTAAAACAGGAAAAAAGAAAAAGAAGAAGAAAAGGATAGAAAAAGGAAATCAATTAGTTAGCTAGACAAGCACAAAATTGCAGAAAAATCAAAGCCATAAGGCTCCAGCTTCTTTCAAAATAGGAACCAATTCTCCAGAAATATGAGCAGCCATAAGTTTATCCAATCCACCAAACAACTTTCCACCAATAAAAAGAGCAGGAAACTGTACTTTCTTCTTACTCCCCTTTCCACCATCATTGCAGATGATTTCCAATTCTTCTAAGGCACTAATCTCATCAGCCTCATCAATCTCATAAACTGCTGGATTCACACCAAGCCCTAGAAGCAAACGTTTCGCTACAAGGCTCATGCAGCATCCACGTCTAGCAAACACTATGATTGCATTTTCTTGTACCATCTTGCTCATATTTCCTGACCCTTTTAGCACTTCTTCAGTTGCAACCACCCCACCATTGTTATGGTGGGAAATAAGTTGAAAAGGGCTTATTAGAGGCTTGTTGTTGGTGTATAAAGGTTGCCATGACTTGTAAGGTATTGCCTGCTGCATGGTTAAAGACACAGAGAGACAGAGAGAGGAGAAGGTTTTGTGTATGTTGAACTAAGGTGCCTAGCAATGGCGAGAAGAGAAGGGTATATAAGAAAATGGAGAGGGGATGACTTGATAAATATGAAAGAGTCAGGCGTCAACGGCAGTTAGCCTTATTTTTTGGTTAAACGCTGCATGATGGTTGTGGCTTACGTTGGATTTGTGTCATCCTTCACTATTTGCATTTATTTATTTTTTAAATAAGAGCATGTAATGTTGCTACGTATCATTAAGAATGATCTTTTATCTTCTTGTCTCAATGATAAATGTGTTTGTTCTCGAATTATTCTATTGGATTTGATCTTAGTAAATTGATCACCCCTTTTTATATATAATTTAGTCGTCTAAAATTTATATTATAAAATAACTAAATTAACTCGAATTAGTCTAAAATAATATTATTTTAAATTTATTTTAAATATTATTTATGAAATGTGTTTTTAGTAATACAATGTAATATACTTTTATAAAAATATTTTTAATTAAAAATATATCAAAATAATATATTTTTATATTTTTAAATAATATTTTCTCATATTATTTAAAAAAATACAACATTAACACATCAAACCATAATATTTAATGTTTTTACATATAAAAAATAATTTAAAAAAATATTAAATTGTGTTACCAAGCAGAATCAAAATTGAATAGAATGTATAACGTTTATATATATATATATATATATAGTAGCAAACCATGGAAGATTTCTAACATTATAGTGTGCTTTGGTTTACATGATGAATGAATTTATTTATTTTCTTCCTGTTTCTTTAGGTTGAAGGGAGATAATTACTCTAGATTTAGGTTGGTTTCCATGCATGATGTATAGAAGTACTATTTAGCATCCCATTGCTCTTTCTTAAAAGTCACTGCTTTATTTGATTGGATTTATTTATGGGTTAGGCGTGAATATTGATTTCTTTACAAATTGTAAACGTCAATTTTTTTAATTCAAATTTTAATAATTATGAGTTGTTAGATTAAGTTTTAAGTAAATTTATTTTCTAAGTTATTGTTTGAGTTTCAATCCAAACATCGAATCAAGAACACTGAGGTAAATTAAGTAAAATTCAAGTCTCTCTCTCCCTATTTCGCCATCTTACTTGTATTAAATATATAGTACTTTATAGTATTTTTGTTTTTTATATAATTATATCAAAATAATTCGAAAATACAAAATCATTATTTTATTTTTTTAAAAAAAAAATACTTTATAAACATGCTCAAATACGAAAAAAAACAAAAATACTTTATAAACATGCTCAAATACGATTTCAAACACAAAAAAACAAAAATAAATGATATATTAATCTTTATCTAAGAATATTAAAAAATGATATATTAATCTTTATCTAAGAATATTTTTATCTAAGTTTAAAAATATTTTTTTTTCTCTTTCTTGTTTCTTCTTTGTCCTTCTCGTCTCTCTTCTATGCAAAATAATTATTAACAATTACGTTTGGATCACACTATAATTTATTCCCAATATACTTATATCTAAAAATCATTAATTATTATTATTAATTAACTACTTAATCTCTTGCCACGTATTTGACCATACACGCGAAAGAAAAATGCCGCTGGCGCGAGAGCTGACGAAAGCTAAGCGACAAACTTTAGCCTTACAGACGCATCATCAAGAGTCCGCGTGACGCCAAACCCGGGACCCTCCACGTGGATCGGACGGCCCTCTCCCGCGGTTATGACGTGGGGTCACGTCATAAAAACACGCCCACGTGTTCCAAGTTTACGGATGACGATTGTGCGCTTCGCGGCTGCTCCGTGGCTTCTAGAAAAAGATAAAAAGTATCAAGTGGATTACGGCCATGTTTTTTCTATGTTTTACAAGTTTTTTTTTTAAATTAATTTTTTATTTTTTATTTATATTAAATTAATATTCTTTTAATATTTTCAAATATTTTGATATATTAATATAAAAAATAATTTTTAAAAAATAAAAATTAATTAAAAGATAATATATTTAAATAAATAATTAAATATAAATAACTTGAAATAACTGAGATTTTATTTTTTTATCCAAACCTACAAAATATGCAAAGAAAATGGGATTTCTTTAAATAAAAAAATATTTATTTAAAAGATCTTAAATTTATTTATCAAATTGTGTTACCATGAATTGACATAACAAGATTGCATTAAATCTAGATGACACTTAACACAATTAGGGTTTTTATTTTTTCATGAAACTTTGTGTCAATACTAAATCCATTCATTTTGATCCCATTTAAAATAAATAATTAATGAAAACAATAATACTCTTGGGTATAATTTGGGTATAATTTATGAAGACAAAATCTTGAACATGATTGATATAGTCGAACCAACACATAAAACATTTATACATTAAATTAAGTCATACCTGTTAACAACATGGATCGTTACTGATAGTTGTAGATGAGACGGAAATAATAAAGATTAAAAAAAAATCATATTTAATAATAATTATTTTATTTTTAATATGTATTATTATCTAACAAAATTATATTTAATAATAATTATTTTACTTTTAATATTTATTATTATCTAACTTGTATATTTAAAAAAAATTAAATTTATTTATTTTTAATTTTAATTTATATTGAGTGTAGAGATTTATAATATTATAATAATCAAGTTATAAAACTTGACTAATCTAACCAGTTAACTTAATACTTGAACTAATCTAGGTTTATAAAAAATAATTAATATGACTTGATACGGTCAAAATCCTGACTAACCTCAAAGTTAAATTTTAAAATTATGATAATAATTATTTTATTTTTATATTAACTTGGGTTAACCAGGGTTGTCCTTTAGAATCCATGCCTCAGGCCTTATTCTATATCAAAATATTGAGTCAGATTTTAAAATTATGATCTGGGTAGACACATGACTTGTCTTGATTAGATTTTTAAATTAGGTGTTAAAATTATAATGATAACAATTTTAATTTTTACGCTGACTTCAGTCAATAGTTAACCAGTCCAATCTACTTTTTTTTTTCTTATATGTTTTAGTTCAATCATTTTATAATTAAAAGAATTTTACAATGATTTTTTAAAAATATAAAATAATAAATATTCTCTTAAAAAACACATTCCTTCCATATCTCTAAATTTAAAAATACAAAAAATTACACCATCATTTTCTCAATAACATATTTACTTTTATATTTGTGTGTCTTCTACCAAAATAGTTCTCATCTTCTTTATTTTTATTGTTTTTATTTTATGATAATAACCAAAAATTATCATAAATATTATTTTCTTTTTTACTTGTTATTAACAATACACAACCCACAAAAACTATAACTAGTGCAACTTTTACAATGACTTATTTTCACTCCGAATCGCTTCTTTAAATAATTAAAAAACTCTAAATATATCTACTTTTATATAAACATGCTTTATAAGTTCAAAAGATATATAAATAAACAACCTTAAAATCCATGGTAAGAGATCTTCTTTTAATGACAAGAAATTCTTCTTCTTTCTCTTTAAACTAGACGGTATAAACATACACATCGTAGCCTTAATAAAAACTATTTTCCTCCACCATGGATGTTAAGCTTCGAATATGACTCCCTTAAACCTTTGAAAACCTTGTTCTCTATGTATTTGTGCTACTCAACTCAAATATATAACATTTCCAACCTTTAATCTATCTATCCGTTTTAAAAACAACTTGATTTTCATGAGGTTTTCTCATTTACCATCTGTATCAAATATAGAACATGAATCATGATTAAATTAGCCAATCTCCATTATACTTAAATAAATATAAATGTACACATTGATATATTTTTTATCTAAAAATAAAGTATGATTCCTAAAATTTATTTACATAAGTTCTACCTTGCCAACTCAATACAGTTGATCAGTTTTTATTAAAAAAAAAAAATCCTTTAATCAGTGGCGATGTAAGAAGAAAATCTATTATTTATAAGATGAATATGAATTTATTTGTGAAAAAAGAGAGAGAGATGACAATTTTAATAAAAAAAAAATCACCACATACTTTTTTTGTAAAGTTGAACTAATTAAATGCCTTTAATCACTAAATTCAAATGTTTTAGATCAATTAAAAAAATATTATAACTTGTATACATTTAATTAGTTTAATTTTATAACTCAAAGTTGTTGAGTTATAAATCACTACACCGCTACCATAGTTGGAATAATTAGATTCACTGTTTTTCACAATATTATTCTTAGATCAATAAGTGAGTTCATGAGAGCTTTTTATCAGTTTGTTCAATGGCAACCTTTAAGTTGGAATAACTACATCACCTTATCCTTTTCTCTTGTCACAGGTAGCTTTCCAACCCTTTTTTTGTTTACAATTTTCA